GGGGGGGGGGGGGGCACCACCAGGAAGAAGGCTGCCCATTAGCCGGCAGTGAAGTGGATTGAGAAGCGCTCAATGCTCACATAGGCACTCGTCCTTGAAGCAGGGGGGGGGGTGGCTCTTTACTCAGAAATCGATACTCAATAGAGATGGAAGCGGTCTATTAAACTAACAAGGAGACGGAGGTGAATGCCAGTTTCAGTGATGATCTGTGGGTTTAAACACCAACGGTGAATTGGTGAAATCACTCTGCAGACCCTGGGATTTAAACCAGTGACCACCCGATCACAGGCACAGTGTGCTGACCCACATCACCCTATAACCTCTGACAAATAAAATCCGGCTTCCACCGGAAAAAATCTAAACGCTGAACCACGCTAATGCTGACGCAAATAAATGTTTCTAGCTGACTGTCATGTGGATGGTGATGAAATACACGTTGCGGGAAGCTAAAAAAAAGTAAAATTATCCTAAAGGCAGGGGCCACCGTGAGCACGTCGTAGAGGAAGACGCATGTGATCCCGACCGTGCCACTGCCGGCAGTCCGGGCAGACCCCGTCAGACGCCGCTCCACCCTCCACGCCCCTTTAGAGCGGGAACGTGCGCTGGCGCGGATAAAAATAAACACGACCTTTATCCCAGCGTCGCTGGAAAACATAAGCGGGCTGTAACTTTGAGGAAATGCAGGACGTTCCAGAAGATTCTGAGTTCAGTGCTTTGGACTTTGGTCACGTTAACTAGATTAATTACTTTCAGATTCTCAGCAGTGCGTCGGTTACACATTAACATACGACAATTAGTGCCGGAATATAAAAACAATTGAATGACTAACACTTTTCCCCCCTAATTACCGTGCAGGCTCCTTTGGCTTCACGCATTTCTGGGCGCCTGACTTCGACAAAAACGGCAGGAAAAAAGCGTGCCGCTCAGTTTCAGGGCTGCCTGGCCAATCAGCACCCACGCACGAGCCACACGCTGTGCTGCGGGCGATTACGAGAATCGCACCGCCGTGCTGAACGTGAGGGCCTCGCTCACCTCGACAGTCGCAGCCCACTCGGAATGCGTGGCGCCAGCTGCAATGTGGGACCAAGCCTCCAGGGGGTGCTGCACTATCCTCAAAGAAAATCCAAGCCCAGCTCTGACAGGTCCTCCACACCTCCACCTTCAAGTTCCAGTTATGTAATATACACAATGGCCACCCCGCTTCAAACACGAGCCTCTCCCTAACATTAACCAGGCCCCGATTGCCAATCAGCCCAGATGGCTCTCCAGGGCTACTTAAGAAGCCCCATAAAATTCAATCCAATTCTTTCATAATGCCATAAATACATGTCTGCTGGGGTCAGGCTTCATTTCTCCATTTACTTACTTCTAATGTGACAGAACAACCGCTACCAAAACAGAAGTAATATCAACTAGAATGGTGCTTCTATCTGGACTTTGAATCCCCTACAGTATCCACCCTGGCCTGAGCTTTCCGAGTCACGGTTCTGGCCTTGGCGCCCAGAACTTGGAAGATTAAGCAGTCAGCGTTAGCGTAGGATGCTAAGCGCCCTGGCTAACAGACTCCCCTGACAGTCAACTTCAACTGCACAGCTGCTTGTCCAAACACA